AGCTTTTTTCTTTTTGCTTATGTGGTGCTGGGGAATCGAACCCAGGGCCTCAGGCATGCAAGGCAAGCGCTCTACCACTGAGCCACTTTCCCAGCCAATTTGGTAAAATCTTATTAACTTGTTAGTATGCGTGTATGCGCACGTGAACAAGCACACAAATCCTTAGGCTTGAACTCAGGGCCTCAGTGCTGTCCCTACCATTTGAGCCATAGCTCTAGTTCTGTTTTGGTTTTTTGTTTTGTTTTGTTTGTAGTTTATTGGAAATAAGTGTCTCACTGACATCCCTGGCTCTGAACTGCCATCCTCAGATCTCAGCCTCCTGAGTAACTAGGATTACAGGCTTGAGCCACCAGCCCATGCCTACTTTTCCTATTTTTCTGTTCTTTTTCTTTCTTTTCTTTTTTTGCTGGTACTGGGGATTGAACTCGGGGCCTGTGCACTGTCCCTGAGCCTCTTTGTGCTCAAGGCTAGCACTCTACCACTTGAGCCACAACACCACTTCTGGCTTTTCCTAAGTGATTCATTGAAGATAAGAATCTCAAGAAAGCCTGGCTCACGACTCTAATCCTAGCTACTCAGGAGGCTGAGTAGTTAGCCCCGGCAGGAAAGTAGTGAGACTTACCTCCAATGTGGCACTGTGGCTCAAGTGGTAAAGTGCTAGCCTTTAGCTGAAGGAACAGTGCCCAAGCCTAGAGTTCAAGCCTCAGGACCACCAAAAAAAAAAAAAAAGATGGGAATGTGGCCTAGTGGTAGAGTGTTTGCCTAGCATGCATGAATCCCTGGGTTTTAATTCCTCAGTCCACATATACAGAAAAAGCTAGAAGTGGCACTGTGGCTCAAGTGGTAGAGTGCTAGCCTTGAGCAAATGAAGCTCAGGGACAGTGCCCAGGCCCTGAGTTCCAGCCCTCAGACTGGCAAAAAAAAAAAGTCTCAAGGACTTTTCTGTCCCTGATGGCTTCTAACCATTATTCTCAGATCTCAGCCTTCTGAGTAGCTAGGATTATAGGCATGAAACACTGGCGCCGGACCCTGTTTTTCATTTTTCTTTTCTTAGAATATGTTTCATCCAAATACATGTTTCATTTTATAGGGCTCATACTTTATCAAAAGTAAAAGATTTTCTATGTCTTCAAATGATTGTGAGATAAATTAACATCATGGTAAAACTTTCGTAAATGTGGAAAAAGAGCTATTGCCCATCAAAGTGAGGATCTTTTTGTTTAAGAACAAAAACAATGGGTTGGGAAGGTGGCTCAGTGGTAGAATGCTTGCCTTGCATGCATGAGGCCCTGAGCTCGATTCCTCAGCACCACATAAACAGAAAAGGCCTGAAGTGGCGCTGTGGCTCAAGTGGTAGAGCACTAGCCTTGAGCTGAATAGCTGAGAGATAGAGTTCAGGCCCCAGACTGGCAAAAAAAAAAACAAAAGAACAAAAACAAAAAAACTGAAAATGTAATAGGAGGCTTACCTAGCATGTACAAAACCTAGGTTTGAGCTCCAGCAGTGAAAATAAAAAAAGACAAGTTCTTCCTTGCTTTAATTTCCTTTCTCCTTTGTTTCTTGTACAGGATAAATTAATGGTATAAAGAAAAGATGACATCAAAAATAAATAACAGTTTCACTTTGATTCCCAAGGAGAAATATAAACGTTGCAATCGTGGATCTGCCTCTTTTTCCAACATCCTTGATTCAGGTTCTCCAACCATGTCAACATTTGGACATTTTAAAGTTTTGCCATTGGAAATATTCCAAATAATTTTAAAGTATTTGTCAGGTGAGTTTTAGGAACTATAAATAGGTTTCAAAAGATGCTAAAATATTATAATTTTTAGCTGAGTGCCTGTGGATCACACTTAAGCAAAATAACTAAGGGACAGCTACCAAGCCCTGAGTTCAAGCCCTAGGACTGGCACACACACACACACACAAAAAACAATATTATAATTTTTCCTAAGAACTAGTTTGTCAGCTTAGGCTCTGTTAAAATGCTAGTAGCAGTTTAACTAAGCTTTTTCCTCTCCCTTAGAGTTCTATTGTTGATAGAAAAGGAATACAATGAGAAAGAACAATGTTCAACTCTTTTTTAAAAAAAATCTATAAATTAAGCTGGGCATTTGTGCTCACACCTGTAATTCTAGCTAATCAGGAGGCTGAGATCTGAGGATCAGGGTTCAGAGCCAGCCCTGGCAGGAAAATACACTACTCAAAAAAAAAAAAAAAGACAGAGGTGGCACTGTAGCTCAAGTGGTAGAGTACTAGACTTGAGCACAAAGAGGCGGAGGGACAGTGCAAAGGCCCTGAGTTCAAGCCCCAGTACCGACAGAAAAAAAGTCTATAAGTCAAGTGTGGTGGTACATCTCTAATCACAGTACTTGTGAAGCTGTGGAAGAAGAATAATAAGATCTAGACCAGGATGGCCCTATATAACAAGATTGTATCTCAAAAAGGAAAGAAAGAGAGCTGGGTACTGGTGATTCAAACCTATAATCCTAGCTACTCGGGAGGCTGAGATCTGAAGATCACAGTTCAAAGCCAGCCTGGGTAGGAAAGCCCTTGAGTTCTCTTATTGACAACTAAACACACCCCCACCCCAAGAAAAATAAGTGGTAGCTCAAATGGTAGAGCACTAGCCTTCTGCATGAAAGCTCAAAGCCCAGGCCTTGAGTTTAAGTCCCGGGGCAAGCACAAGAAGGAAGGGGAGCTAGGAAGTTGGCTAAGTGGTAGAGTGCTTTCCTTGCATGCATGAGGCCCTGGGTTTGATTCCTCAGCACCACATAAGCAGAAAAAGCAGGAAGTAGTACTGTGGCTCAAGTGGTAGAGTGCTAGCCTTGAGCTGAAGAGCTGAGGGACATTGTCCAGGCCCAGAGTTCAGGCCTCATGACCGCAAAAAAGAAAGAGGGAAGGAAGGAAGGAAGGAAGGAAGGAAGGAAGGAAGGAAGGAAGGAAGGAAGGATATAGGAAAGAAGCATACCTGTAATTATAATGTCATGTTAACAGCGCTTGGGTGCTGTCCTTCAGCTCTTCAGCTCAAGGCTAGCACTCTACCACTTGAGCCACAGTGCCACTTCCAGCATTTCCAGCTTTTTCTGTTTATGTGGTGCTGAGAAATCGAACCCATGGCCTCATGCATGAGAGGCAAGCACTCTACCACTGATCCTCCTTCCCAGCCTTTGATTATACATTTCTCTAGGTTTGTTTTTATTCATAGACTGTACTAATGATATTCTTGTCAAATATGTTTCTTTTTGTAGTGAAGGATGTCAGTATGCTAAGTATGGTGTCCAAAACAGTCAACCAGCACATTATTAATTATATCTCAACCTCATCAGGAAGTAAAAGACTTTTACTACAGGATTTTCATAACCCTGAGCTACCTGACAAGAATCAGGATTCCTACATAATGGAGCACTACAAATCTCTAGGTAATTTATGAAATAAGAATTGCAATAAGTAATGAATTAAACTTATTTAAGAGGATTTTCTGTAGGCTAGTGCAATGCAAAGGACTTCCTAAAATGTACCTATCTATATGATGCTTTTACTCTTTAGTGAAAGAACTGTTCCTTCACAAAGTTGCTTACACTTATCTTTAAAGGTCAGAGAATGCACTTTAATGTAAAGTGCCAGTCCTGGTGAATTTCACGTAGATTCATTGCCACCTAGACTTATTGTCTAGGTGGCCTACTAACTTAGAGAATTGATGTATTTTCTATGCTTTATTTCCTTTTTTTTTTTTTTTGGGTCCGGTCATGGGGCCTGAACTCTGGGCCTGGGCGCTATCCCTCAGCTCTTCAGCTCAAGGCTAGCGCTCTACCACTTGAGCCACAGCGCCACTTCTGGCTTTTTTCTTTTTGCTTATGTGGTGCTGAGGAATCGAACCCAGGGCCTTGAGCATGCAAGGCAAGTGCTCTACCACTGAGCCACCTTCCCAGTCCTATGTTTTATTTCCTGTGTTTCAAATGAATGTTATTTCTATGCCTTTTCCCTTTCAACCATAATCTAGCCCTTAAAAATAGAAAAAAAGGGTTGGAGGTGTGGCTCAAGTGGTACAATGCTTTCAGTGTTCTGGGTTCAAGCCCCAGTACTGCCCAAGAAAGGAAAGAAGGAAGGAAAGGAGGGAGGAAGGGAGGGAGGGAGGGAGAGAGGGAGGGAAAGAGGGAAGGAAAAGGAAAAGGAAAAGAAAAGAGAAGAGAGAAAAGAAAAGGAGAAAAAGAAAAGAAATTTAAATACATTATTGTGGAGGATCATTTATTTTCCTATCAGAACCTATGGTTTTCCTTTATAAGCAATGTATGCATTTATTAATAAATCATTATAATTAAATTGAACTTATCAAGGGACATTCTGTATAATCTTTCTTCCCTTGATATATAGTCATGTATATCTTTTATCCCATTCATTGTTTTTATTCACCCTAGAGTAATAAAATTCTTAATTTAACTTTGACTAATGACAGCAATTTAACTATGAAACTAATTTATAATTAACCAAAGCATTGCAATAAAATGTTGAGATTTAAATAAAGATATAATAGTAAATTGAGCACATATTGCCTTTTAGTAGCCCAAGAATGCCTCCCTCTACGATAATAAAAAAAAATTATATTGGGTACCAGTGGCTCAAACCTATAATCCTAGATACTCAGGAGGCTGAAATCTGAGTGTCATATCATCACTTTCTCACTTTTGGGTTGTAGGGGGGAGGGGGAGGGGATGATCCATGAGATTCTTATCTCCAATTAACTACCAAAAGGTCAGAAGTAGAGATATGGCTCAGTGGTAGAGCACTAGCTTTGGTGGTAGATGGGGAATGGAAGCTAAGGGACAGCTGAGGGACAGGCCCTGGGTTTAAGCCCAAACCAGCACCGAAGAAAAATACTGTATTGGTATGCAAATACATTCCACAAATATATTTAATTAGAACAAATGCAAGATATGTGATCTGAATAGAGTGTTATTGATTTTAGTGTTAATGACTAGATTTGGAAAGCCTATGACCACATATGACTCCGCCCCCCCCCCTCTCTTAAGTGGTTTTGGTCTGCTTAAACAAAAAAATCTGGGACAAAAGGAAGGGGGTTGGCTTAACTGGTTCTAGCAAGCACAAAGCCCTGAATTTAAACCCTAATCTCATGCACACACACACACAAACACACACACACACACACACACCAATTATATAGATAATTCTGTTAACATTCAAATATGTATTGATCCTACTGGTTGGTTTTTTAAAAAATGGTATTATTCAGCCTTCAACCTTCCATTTAATTTTTGACACACACCTGGTGTATGACTGGTTCTTTTGGTAAATGTTTGATGTACATTCCCTTTTTTGTGTGTTGTAACTCCTGTCTGATCTGTTCTTGTTTCCAGACATTAAAATAACACTTTCAGAAGATTATAAATTTTAATTTGCTTTTTCATACAGAACCAAGCAGATGGCCAGTGTGGAAAGAACATTACGTCTGACTCTATTTTAATAGGAAGAATTTAAAGAAGTTGGTCTCTAAAAGCAGAGTACCTTTGTTTTAAAAGAAAATTTAAAAGTCAGCCAATATTGGGTTTTATGATAAATTGCAACTTGAATTAAAAATATGAGTTTTACAGTAGAAAAAGTGATCAACATACAATTATAGTTTAAAATCCCCAGTTATAATATGCCATGAGACTGGATGCCAAAATGAGAGGAAAAGAACTTAATCTAAAAAAAGTTTTTACGGGGGCTGGGAAGGTGGCTCAATGGTAGAGTGTTTGCCTTGCATGCATGAGGTCCTGGGTTGGATTCCTCAGCACCACATAAGCAGAAAAAAGCCAGAAGTGGCACTGTGGCTAAAGTGGTAGAATGCTAGCTTTGAGTTGAAGAGCTGAGGGACAGCACCCAGACCCAGAGTTCAAGCCCCATGACTGGCAAAAAAAAAAAAAAAAAAAAGTTTTTACGGGCTGGGAAGGTGGCTCAGTGGTAGAGTGCTTGCCTTGCATGCCTAAGGCCCTGGGTTCAATTCCTCAGCACCACATAAGCAAAAAGAAAAAAGCCAGAAGTGGCGCTGTGGCTCAAGTGGTAGACTGCTAGCCTTGTGCTGAAGAGCTGAGGGACAGGGCCCCACGACTGGACCCAAAATAAATAAATAAATAAAAATAAAAGAAGTTTTTAGCTGGGTGCTAGTGACTCACGCCTGTAATCCTAGCTACTCAGGAGGCTGAGATGTGAGGATAGCAGTTCAAAGCTAGCCCAGGCAGGAAAGTCTGTGAGACTGATCTCCAGTTAACTACCAGAAAGCAGGAAGTGGCACTGTGGCTCAAGTGACAGAGCAAAGCGCTAGCCTTGAGCTGAAGAGCTCAGGAACAGCATCCAGACCCAGAGTTCAAGCCCCAAGACTGGCCCAAAAAAGAAATTCTTTTTATGTAAAAAAATAAGAAGTGTAGTGGAGCTGTGGCTCAAAATGGTAGAACAGTAGTCTTGAGCAAAAAAGCTCAGGGTTCAAGCCCCATGATTGACCCTCCCCCCCCCAAAAAAAGGGGGAAGTGTTTATGTTTAAATTCAATTCTGATCATGTGGTACCCAAATGTAGGCAGCCACTGGTGACTTCTGCTGATAATCTGCTAATCCTGGATACTCAGGACACTGAGATCTGAGTATTGCAGTTTGAAACCAGTTCTTGCAGGAAAGTCTATGACACTCTTATCTACAATTAACCAGCTAAAAGCAAGAAGTAGAGCTGTGGTTCAAGTGGTAGAGCCCCAGCCTTGAGTGATAAAACTAGACCCTGGGGGCTGGGAAGTTGCCTCAGTGGTAGAGTGCTTGCCTTGCATGCATGAGGCCCTGGGTTCAATTCCTTAGCACCACATAAGCAGAAAAAAGCCGGAAGTGGCACTGTGGCTCAAGTGGTAGGGTGCTAGCCTTGTGCTGAAGAGCTGAGGGACAGCGCCCAGGCCCAGAGTTCAGCCCCCACAACCGACCAAAAAAAAAAATAATAATAAATAAATAAATAAAACTAGACCCTGAGTTTAAACCCAAGTACCAGCACATTCCCCCCTTAAAAAAAAGTACATTAGATTCCTATAGATTTTTTTAGAATTATATAATTATTATGTAAAAAGGTAAATATGCAGAATATAAAAAACTAAAGAAAGTCATGATATTTAAGTAGCTAGTTTCTTTCCATGTGTATTATTTTTAGTTCGAAGACATTTGTTTTTATAAGAATGTTTTAACAATGTACTGCCATTTTAGGAAAATCAGAATACTTAAAGGAAACAAATCATACACTTGTCACTATAGTTGCTGTCACATCTTACTGAGAAGTTGAAGGGCCTTTTTTTCTTTTGTAAAATGTCTGATCACAAAATCCTACACATTCCTACCATGTAATCCCCATAAAAGGAATAGATAGATATTTAAGCTGAACTACTGTGAGCAAAAAATGACTTCTGACTTCTGAAACTTTAAATACTCATGAACACAAAATCTCTTTTCCCATTCTTTCCATGTTTTACAACTCTTAAAATATTTTCCTTTTTCAAAACAAAGTTAATTACAAGAGATAATGAAATCTGTTTTCTCATGGAATAAAGAAAATTTCCCTAGTGTATCTTCTTTTAGATCCAAGACTGCTCTTCCAATTGAGCTGTGCCTCCAACCCCTAAGGGTTGGTTATTTATTTAATTTTTCCTAGAGTATCTTTATATTTTATTGCATTTTTTTTTGGTCTGGTCATGGGGCCTGAACTCTGGTCCTGGGCGCTGTCCCTCAGCTTTTCAGCTCAAGGCTAGCGCTCTACCACTTGAGCCACAGCACCACTTCCGGCTTTTTTTCCTTTTTTCTTATGTGGTGCTGGGGAATCGAACCCAGGGCCTCATGCATGCAAGGCAAGCACTCTACCACTGAGCCACCTTCCCAGCCCCTTTTTGTATGTCTTTAAATTAAATGCTTTCCATCTATGTCCTGTAGAATCCATTTCACAATTTGTATATTTGTGTGTGTGTACATGTATGCATGCATGCCAGTCTTGGGGCTTGAACTCAGGGTCTGAGCACTTTCCCTAAGCATTTTTGCTCAAGTCTAGCACTCTACCACTTGAGCCACAGCTCTACTTCCCATTTTTTTGGTGGTTAACTAGAGATAAGAGTAACATGAACTTTCCTGTCCAGGCTGGCTTCCAAAGGTGATCCTCAGATCTCAGCTTCCTGACTAGCTAGGAGTACAGGTGCAAGCCACCAGTCCTCAGCTCAAGGTCACCATTTTTTTTCTCCAAGACTTTAGGCCTCTTAGCCTCTTAGATGAACACCAGAATCACTTGATGAATGCCATAATAGTGTACCACACTGGACTTCAGAAAATTGTGGTGTTATTAGATATGTTAAAATTGATCACATTGTTATTTTCTTCTTGTGTCTCTTTACTTTCTCAGGTCTACTATTTAAAAGATGTACATTGCTGCTACCCACCAAGGAAAGACTGAGGTACATTCACAAGAAGCTCTCAGAAGTAAGATGATATTTTTGAATTAGCTCACAATCTCTATCTCCAGTAATTTTGTATGTGTATGTGATACTGGGGATTGAATCCATGGCCTTAAACATGCTAAAAAGCACTCTGCCTCTTGAACTATAGATCAAGATATCTTATTATTAACATACTATTATTAAGATATTATTAAGATATCTTATTATTAAGCTATATAGACCATGATATCTTATAACTAAAATCTTATACTCATTTTAAATCTATTATTAATTAATAGAATTTCATGAATTAGTACTAAAAAATTGATCATTGGTAATCTAATACTCTCCTGGGTACTCGGAGATTATATAACATGAGATGTAGTGTAGCATAGTCATGTCCCCATTTGCACAACTCCAGTTACATATAGTCAACTATAGTCTGAAAGTATTAAATGAAAAATGCCAATATGTGAGGTTTAGATTGTGCATCATTCTAAGTAGTGTGATATCTCTTGTCATCCTGCTCCAACCCACCTGCGATGTGACCCGTCTCTGTTCATTGTATCCATGCAGCATATCCTGTTCTCATTAGTCACCCTATAGCTATCTGATTATCAGACCCACTATTGTAGTATCACAGTGCTTGAGTTTAAGCAAACTTCATTCTACTTAATAATAGTCCCAAAGTGAAACAATAATGATGTTGGTAACTTTAGTAAACTGTATTTTATCATTTTTCTGTGTATTATTAGTTATTATTGTTATCCTCTTACTATATTCAATTTATAAATTTATCACTGGTATGTATATAGAAAAAAAAACATGGTTTACTCAAAAGTATTTTTATCCCAAATAGGAACCCTGAGAAAGTTAGTTTATTTTATTTTTTGTCAGTTGCAGGGCTTGAACTCTGGGTCTGGGCACTGTCCCTCAGCTCTTCAGCTCAAGGCTAGTACTCTACCACTTGAGCCACAGTGCCACTTCCAGCTTTTTCTGCTTATGTGGTGCTGAGGAATCGAACCCAGGGCCTCATGCATGTGAGGCAAGCACTCTACCACTGAGTCACCTTCCCATCCCCTGAGAAAGTTATTTTAAAATTATGATTTAAGAGAGGCCCTGGTAGCTCAAGCCTGTAATCTTAGCTACTTGAGAGGTAGAAATCAGGAGATTTTGCTTAGAGGCCATCCCAGGTATAAAAGTTAGTGAGGCCAAGCGCCAGTGGCTCAAGCCTGTTATCCTAGCTACTCAGGAGGCTGAGATCTGAGGATAGCAGTTCAAAGCCAGCCCAGGCAGGAATGTCTGTGAGACTCTTATCTCCAATTAATCACCAGAAAACCAAAAGTGACACTGTGGTTCAAGTGGTAGAGCGTTCACTGTGAGCTGAAGAGCTCAGGGAGAGTGCTCAGGTCCAGAGTTCAAGCCCTACAATGGACAAAAAAAAAAAAAAAAGTAAGATTCCATCTCAACGAATGGCTGGGCAAAGTGTGCACTTCTGTTATCCCAACTACAGGGGAAGCACAATGGCTGGGGCAGTGGCACAAACCTGTCATCTACAATGACATGTGGAAGCACAAGAAAGAAGATTGTAGCCCAGCCTTGCCTGGGTAAAAACCTGAAAATCTCCTCACTGGAAAACCTACACATTGGGAATGTGATTCAAATGGAAGAGTAAGCATAAGGCCCTAAACTCAATTCCTAGCACCACAAAGAAAAAAGTAACAAAGCAGTGACTTGTATATTTTATTAAAATGAAATAATTTCTGAATATTAAAATCTTTAATTTTGAATATACAAAAACATTAGGAAAGCTGCATTTGTTTATTTTTTGTGTGGTGCTAGGGACTGAACCCAGAGTTTCTCCCATACTACTGAAAGTGCTCTTCCACAAAACTATTCCCCCAGGCCTGAAGAGCCATTTTTTATTGTTTTTATAAAGGTAAGGTACAGAGGGGATTACCATTTCAAAGTCAGGTAATGAATGCATTTCTTTTTGGACAATGTCACCCCTTTATTCGTGCTCTCTCTCAGTTATTCCCTCCCATCCCCACCCACATTTTCAGCATTCATTTTCAGCATAGTGTGAAGTAAATACCACTGCTGCATTTGTTCACCCTTTGTCCCTCCACTTCTGTGACCCTTTTACCGTTTCCCCAAAGACAGATAAACAAACAAGCAAGACACACAAAAAATACTTGTTTCCATTTCCTGGAATTCATTTAGGCAAATATTATTTTATATGATCAGAGGTACAGAGGCAGTGCTCCTGGGTATTCCTCCACTGAGTATTTTCCTTTAGTCTCACTGTGTGTGAATACCTAGAGTCCTGTATACATTTTCATGTCCCTGTGTATTTTAGATCTAGTCTTCTGAAGGGAAAGTATTTTTAATATATAATATGGCAAATTGTTTTCTCATAATTCACTTGGGAATGCATATCAATGTATTTAGGCATAATCTTGATATGACTGAGTTTTACTATACAAAACCAATATATATCTAGTCTGATGTTCAGGCCGATACTCAACAGTATGCAAATTATTCTCATGCACTGACAATTTTCCATGTACTATTTCGTTTGTTCTACCCATTCATGTAGCATTTTATCAGATAATCCTTCCATCATCTGGCCACTCACCAAACAGTTCTGTATACTAGTTTAATTCAAAGTTTTTCCCTCACCCCACTTAAAGCATCACTTTCATTCATCAAGATAAGTTGATCAGGATGAGGGCATAAAGCCTGCCTAGCAAGCATGAGGCCTTGAGTTCAAACCACAGTATTTGAAAATAATAAATCTCACAGCAAAATCTTTCACTGGCTACTTTTTACTGCTATAAGCCTAATTAAGTGGTCCTATCTTTTTCTTTTTCTTTTCTTTCTTTTTTCTTTTTTTTTTTGTCAGTCATGAACTCAATACCTGAGCACTGTCCCTGGGCTCTCTTTTGTTCAATGTTAGTGCCCTACCACTTTGAGTCACAGTGCCACTTCCAGTTTTTTAGTGGTTAATTGGAGATGAGTCTCACAGACTTTCCTGCCCAGGCTGGCTTTGAACTTTTATCCTCAAATCTCAGCCTTCTGAGTAGGATTACAGGCCTGAGCTGCCAGCACTGGGTACCGTGGTCCTATCTTTATTACTAAATAAACATTATAAACTTTACCTCCATAAATTTTGCCCTTATTGTTTCTCTCATCAATACTTTCTATTTGTTATATCTGAGCTCTACTTTAAGATGTTGGTTTATTTTGCATGTATTCATCATAAGCTTTTTTTTTTTTTTTGGTCGGTTGTGGGGCTTGAACTCTGGGCCTGGGCGCTGTCCCTGAGCTCTTAAGCTCAAGGCCAGCGTTCTACCATTTGAGCCCAGCATTACGTCCGGCTTTTTCTGCTTATGTGGTACTGAGGAATGGAACCCAGGGCCTCATGCATGTGAGGCAGGCACTCTACCACTAAGCCACCTTCCCAGCCCCAGGCTTTTTTGTTTGAGGATGGGGGACCGTGTCCTCACTATGTAGCCCAGACTGTCCTCAAAGTCTCCATTCCCCTATCTCATTCTCTTCCAGAGTATGGGGCTTATAGATAGATACTTCATCCCTGGCTAGATAAGTTTTTTTTATCATTTCTGAATATATTATTTCCCTGTTTTCATATTGTCCAGTATGGTATTTATTCATTTTAACATCCTATATATTCTATCCTGAGTTATTGTAGTAATTTCATATGTGTATATCTTATTCTCCTGAATAAATTGTAAGCCCCTTAAGGACAGAGACTATGTTTCATTCTTCTTTTATAATCTCCATAACACTTTGTAAACCAGAATATATACTGAAAAAAATAACATTACATATTCCATTAAATTTAAATGTTAAATCATTTTACAAATCCACTGAAAATGAAGAATTTTCACTTGTTCTCTTTACAGATTTCCTGTTTCAAATTTAATGGCTGTGCAGCTCCCATGCAATGTTTAGGATTACCATGTTATGGCATATTTTTACAGGTACATTTTTTTAGTGAAAGAAGAAAGGAATGTTTTTAGAGCTATTAACATTAGAGTATGGAATCTATCCTTTTGCAGACTAATAGAAGTTATAATAATCTTAGAAATATATGTATATATATTTATTTATGTATATGTGTGTGTATTTGCCAGCCACTGGTAGCTCATATCTGTAATCCTAGTTACTCAAGAGGCTGAGATATGAAGATCACAGTTCTTAGCCAGCCCAGAGAAGAAAGTCCGTGAGACTGATCTCCAATAAATTACCAAAAAGGTTAAAGTGGAACTGTGGCTCAAGTAGTAGTAGTAGACTGCTACCCTTAGAATATGACCTAATAGCGTTTCTATAATCTGAGATTTTCTGTTTGTAACTGATATATATATATATATATAATGTTTAACATTTATTTACTCCATGTCAATGTCCTTGAAATTTCCAGCTCTCTTCACCATCCCTCTTTTTTTTTTTTAACTAGAGACTGAACTCAGAACCCTCCTGATTTTTTTTTTGCTTTTACTTTGTTTTCCAAGCAGAGTATTGCACTAATTTTTGCCCAGGCCAGACTTGAGCCACAACCCTCATACCTCCATCTTCCTGAGTAGCTAGAATTATAGATGCACCACCATACCAGTTGTGTGTGTGCATGCACACGTACACACATGTGCTCATGCATGCACACAAGGAATTGACCTAGGACCTCATGACTGCTAAGTAAACACTATACCAATACACTATATCAACAGCCCCTAGCCAGTTGTAAAGACTGAAAACATTATGAGGGTATGGATGTGTGTGTACATGTATATATAATTGTTTAAACTCTTGGACTAGTTATTAAGTTCTGAAATCAGCTGAATTATTTCAAGAACATTTTATATGTATGTGTGTGACAATACTGGGGCTTGAACTCAAGACATAGGCTCTTTCCGTTAGGGATTATTTTGCCCATGGCTAAAATTCTACCACTTGGTAGTTAACTGGAAATAACTTTCCTTCCAGAAAGAATAAAATTAGCTTTTTGGTGCTGGAGATTACAGCTTAATTTTTTTGTTGTTGAGACAGGGTCTCACTAGATAACTCAGATTAGCTTCCAATTCAGAATCCTTCTGCCTCAGCCTCCCTGAGTACTGGCGTTACAAGTGTGCACCACCATACCCAGCTTCCGTGTGGTGGGTTTTTGTTTGTTTGTTTGCCAGTCTGGGGCTTGAACTCAGAGCCTAGGCATTTGTCCCTGAGCTTCATTTGTTCAAGGCTCTACTACTTGAGCCAACAGTGCCACTTCCAGCTTTTTCTGTTTTTGTGATATTGAGGAATTGAACCCAAGTTTTATGCATGCTAGGCAAGCACTCTATCACTAAGCCACCTTCCCAACCCAGTGTAATGGGGTTTTTTTTGCAGCTTACTCTTTTTTTTTGCCAGTCTTGGGACTTGAACTCAGGGCCTGGACACTGTCCCAGAGCTTCTTTAGCTTAAGGCTAGCACTCTACCACTTGAGCCACAGC